AAATAAATAAATTTACTAAACACATATTCTTTACAGGTTAAGCAAAACCACTAACTAATATTTTTAAATCATTATATCAAACAAGCAATTAGTTTAACAATGTTAGAGTATATGTAATTTTAATGTTTTTAATTTTTTAATATTATAAAAAAACATAAAAAAATATTTATTATTTATTTTAATTATTATTTTATATATTTTTAAAACATTAAAAGACAAAAAAAAAAAAAAAAAAACAATACAAAGAACTCCTTAGTAAAGCAATGATAGTTTTCCAAGCAACGGTTCTCACTAAAATCATTCTTCTTTCCTCAAAAATGTAATTCTGTTCAAAAAAAGAATAAAACACAATACAATATAATACAATATCGACAAATAAAACCTAAATTATAAATTTACTAGAAAAATTCAATTATTGTATTCAATAATTTGTTTTTTTACTTATGTTATTTGTCACTATAAATTCATTCAAAACTTCAAAACTAGTAAGGAGTAATTTGCAATTACGTCAGTACTTAAAAGGTAAGATATTCGATTCAAGTACTAGAGAATTTTAAAGGTTCTCTCATTCTCAGACGTGTCTGCGTCTTCCGGCCAAGAGATTTAATTGCAAGTCTTTAACAACTTTCATGGCCTCTCTGATTTTTCTACAATTGCCCACTCCCCCTTCCACCCAAAAGCACAAACAACACAACAATATTTTCAGAAAATTTTTTTTTAAAAGAAGTTAACCTTTAACCAAACACACACTAATACACACCCTAATGGTATAAAAAAATAAGGACATATGGAGAGAAAAATATGAGCAGGGACGGAGCTACCATAGGACAAGGGGTGGCAGCCGCCCCCCTTAAGCTTTTGAAAAATGTTTAATCTAGTATATTAATTTTTAATTAGTATAAATTTTGTTTTTGATGTTTGAATTACAAAAACTTTTTTGAATTTAAAGAAAATATTTAGGGATTAGGTTAAGGGACCATTTCTTTCTTTATAATCAGTTTTTAAAATAGATAATTTTATTTGGATATAAAAAAGATTTTACATTAGTTGTAATTTTTTATACAATTTATGTTTTATCAATTTAACAATAGGATCTGACGTTCCAATTGAAAGTTCATTAATATTTATAATTATATCAAAAAAGAAATTATATTTTATATGAGATTAGTATTTATTTACTAGACTTGCAAAAAAAATGTGAAAAAGATTTCAAAATTAAGATGTTCTGATAAAGTATCACAAAAAAATATTAATATAACTTTCATTCTTACCCTAAAAATATGCTAATTTAGTCTTTTTATTTTAATTGAAGTTTATTTAAATAATATAGTTTTGAAATATCTTTTTCATAATTTTTTTCTCAATCAAACTTATTAATAATTATCCTATTATTTTGTACTACTTGTTTAAGGGTATTGAATCTTATGTTATTAAAAAATAATTAAATATATTTAATTAATTTAAACTTTGGCATATATGTTATAATAGTACATTTACTCATAAAAGTAGTGATTAACATAAAAATTGGTATAATTTTTTTTTTTTGTATATAAAAATTATGCATCAAATTCATGACCTATAACTAATAGGGGGAATAGAGGCGGGATGGGAAAATTCCCCTTACTTTATTTTTTCCTTTACTTTAGATACTTATCCAAA